ACTCTAATATCTGAGGATGTAAGTTGATATATATGCCTTGTGCTGGCCCTTTGCAAAGAGGTAACTTTCCTTGTTAAAGTATTAGGTCTTGATTCAGCAAAGTAGTTAAGAACATGCTTAACCTTAAGGGCATGTGTAATCCCAGCCTTATTCAGCAAAGCAGATGAATGCATGCCCTGCGTCACAATGCAGTTAATTTTAAGCCTATGTTTAAGTGCTTTGATGAAATGGGACCACAATGTTAAGCAACAAGAATGGAGAAAGACTTAGTATTTTGCAGGACTTGGCATGAAATCAGAATTTACTGATTAATTTCTAAGCAATTAATTTCCAAGCAATACATTTATCAAAGCAAATCACAAACTTTCCACCCCGCTCTAGCATGTGGTTACTGTGTCCATGTCATGACACAAGAGAAAGGTACTGACCAGTGAAAATAGGGCAGATCTTCTCCCAGCACGTAATTCCCCCTTCAGAGGTATACTGTCCTAGTGCCACTTCCAGGAAAAATACAGGAAGACCTCCCCCAAACAGGAAAATAAAATAAGGTATAAGAAATGCACCTATGGAGAAAACACAATGGTATATGATAAAGATTAAGAGAATGGTGATATTCAAATGGAAAAACACCACAACAGTAAATATACATAACAAGGAAACAAACTCAACACCTTTGCATCAGCATATAGTATTTCTACTTTTCTAGTATTATTGCTCACGATCAAAAATTGACTGGTTAGAAAGTGAAAGCAAAAGGATGCTTTCATGGCTTTTCTAAAGTGCAATGAGAATCATATGCACTTTTGTTTCATTTAACCCACGCTACTATTTTTATTTTAACACACACCAGAACTATTCAGCCAAAGTCTGTGTTTTAGCTGCACCAATATACATTGGTTGCTCTGCTAATCTGATTCATTCTGGATTTATACTGGCATGGCTCAGTGCACCAGTCTGTATCAGTGGTGTGATTTATGTATTTTCCAAGTTACAAATGAGGTCCAAGTGTAGTACCAGTAAAATAAGTTCAACATTCAATAGTTGTACAATTTAAGAGTGTTATTTTCTGCAACAAACCTTGAATATAAACTATAAACTAATCATAAGCAGCTTCTCCTACAGTTAGGGAAGTAGGAAGGAATTTTTTATGCTTATTTTATTTATTTATTTTTAACTACAGGGGAAGCACTTACATTTCACTGTGACATGGGGAATAGTGATAGATGGATTGACAGACAGACAGAGAGATAAAATCCGAAGGAGCTAGAGAGATACTTACCTCCGCCATTTTTATAGCAGAGATACGGAAACCGCCAGACGTTGCCTAAACCAATGAATCCCCCAGCCACAGAGAGCAGAAAGTCAATCTTACTCGCCCACTTCTCCCGCTGGGGCGGCTTTCCCTCTGCTTCATCCTCAGGACGTGTCCCTGGGCTCTTGCCAGGGGAAGGTTTGAGGATGTCCTTGTGGAAATCTTTCAAGCACTGAAGCTTCTCCTTTGTAGCCATACCTCTGATCTCTAAAAAGAGAAAAAAAATGCCAGGGGTTTAGAAAGCAGCTTTTACCAGTAACACTCTAGCAGTGCAAGACCTGCTTAACCATATTAGATTCCTTAGGTCACCTTTCATCAAGCTTCTTGGACTAGGAGAGATATGGATAGACCCAAATTCTTAACTGAGCTATATCCAAACTCTGGACAGTCCTGCACAGCTCCAACAGGGAACTAAAACATGTGAAAAAGCCTTTCCCTTTTTCTCTTGCACACGTATCTGTGCAAATCCAAATACAATGCTAACACTTTGCAGACCTGATCCAACACCCAGTGAAGTAAATGCAAAGATTCCCACTAATATCACTGAGCCCTGGGTTGGGCCCCTGAAAAATGAGGGACTGCATACGTGGGCATTTGCACCTCTCTGCTCCTGGTTGGTGTGTCTGGCCAAATTTAAGGGGTGTCAAAGGCTTGGTGTTCTTATTCACCTGCTAGCCTCAGGCTCTTACGTTTAGAGAATACATGTTGCATCAGCAAGTGATATCACTGAGCCTCAGTGCTCATTAAAGCAGGGGTGGGCAATTATTTTAGCTGCCAGGCCACTGAAGGAATTTTGGTGAGCTGTCAAGGGCTGCATACATAAAATCTTTCAGAAGATATCACTATAACAACTTATAGATAAAAAAAAATCATATACCAAAATTCAAACATCAATAATGTGTTTTAATTTTATTTCAAAAAATCGTTTTTGTCCTGATTTAAGTTTTTTTTTAGTAGTATACATAGAGGTGATTACATAATAGTGCAAAACAAAGTCTTACTCTTGTATATTGTGTGTGTGGGGAGGTAAGGGTGGGTGCACAGAGGGTGTGTATGGGGAGGTGAGATGTGTGTGGGGTGGGTGTTGCGGAGTGTGGTGTGCATGGGTGGGGGGGTGTAGGTTGGGGTGTTGCCCGCACGCTAGGTCCTGGGAGCTGGCCAGGAGTGGGAGGATGGAAGGGAATGGAGGGAGCGGGGCAGGAGGCACAAGCAGCACAGCTCACCCAGGCGGTATGGTTTAGGTGCAGGTGCCATCCACCCCCCACATCTGACCCGCGGCTGCCTCCTCGTTCTGCACGGGGCTGAGTCCTACCTGCTCCCACCCACACCCATCCTATGCCCAGTGATGGCACTGCCCCAGCCCTGGCCCCGGATAGCACACAGCATCCTGGCAGGGCTGCTCCAACCCAGGTATTGCTTGGCTCCTCCTGTCCTCCAGTGCCTCCTCCTCCTACTGTCCCTGCTGTGCTGCCCCAGGCAGCAGGTAGCGCAGGGAAGCAGTGGCGCCTGTGATGACACATGCCAGGCACCACGTGCCCAGCCAGGTGGGGGAAAAAGCTGCAGCCCCAGTGCACAGGGCTCCAGCTCCAGCTTGGCCGCCTGCAGGTAGCTGCTCACCACACCAGTTGGCCAAGTGGGTAGAAGTCAGCCAAGAGATGGATCTGGAGCCCTGCAAGCTGGCACAGGAACTGCCTGCCTGTAGCTTCCCCCCCAGCTGGCTGGGCAGGCATCCCCAAGGCAGCCGCCACCTCCCCATGCTACCTGCTGCCTGGAGCAGCACAGCAGGGGGAAGAGGAGGAGGAGCCACTGGAGGCAGGGGGAGCTGAGCAGTATCCAGATCGCTGCAGCAGCAGTGGGAACAGACCTGCCAGGAAGCTGCATGCTGGCTGGGACCGAGGCTGGGGCCACTGGTAGGTGTGGGACGGATGTGGGTGGGAGCGCGGCTCAGGCTGCCTTGGCTCGGAGCAGGCAGGACTTGGTCCCTCGCAGAGTACTGTGGGGGCAGCCATGGGGCAGATACAATCAAGTGGCAGGTTGTATCCGGTCCATGGACTGTATTTTGCCCAACCCTGTATTAAGGGATTATGCCTGCTACAATGGGCAGGGAGCCTCAGGTTGTTTCTGCTCACTCGGTGATACATCCATGTCCGATTCCCTTTCACGCTTTTCAAAGAGCAATTTCAACTTGGTCCAAAAGAATTATATATATAGGGCAATGATACCTTCTGCTGAGATGTCCAATAATCATTGAGGTAACTTCCAATTCTTTCTCTCCCAGTTCCCTAGTCTTTCCCACAGCTTACACTGTACAATACTGTGGCTGTAGTTAAAGTACTACACAGTATCTAGGAGACTAAGTGATTCAAAGAGGCATGAGCTTTCATAGGCGACAGCCTACTTCATCAGATGCATCTGATAGTCCCTAAGGTGCCAGCTACCCTGTCCTGCCTTCTGCCTGACTTCTCACTAACACAGCTAGGCACCTGTCTCTCTCCAGCTTCGAGAAACTAAGAACTCTACAGAAGCCAGACTAGGAAATCATTTTTCCAAATCAGACCATAGTATCTGAAGCAACTTTCTCAGTTTATTCTATTTTTGCTGTTAAACCACTTTTACTTGGAATCAAGAAAAGCAAATAAATAGACCTTCATATTTCCATTAACTTTTTATCCGATAGCATAATTCACCTGATGCAAAACCAAGAGTAAATTAAACCATAGTGGGCCAGTTCATTTTAATGCACAAGACATTAAACATAACAAGGCGTTACATTCTTTTACATACAGGAACCAGGAGTTCTTAATGCAACAATTTATGATATGTATTGTTATAGTAAACCCAGAGTCAGACATTGAGGCAAGTTCCTTCTCGATATAACTTAACTTACTTCAAATCAATCTGGACTGTCATTTGACAGAGTGGCATGATGCTGAAAGCATATAAATTTTTCATCAGACCCATGCAAACCAGCAAATTTATTCTTGGTCACAACCACTGCCTACTTGCACATTATGTGTGCACAGTCATAAAAGCTGTGCTTCAGATCATCCCAGCTGATAGCTGCAAGTCCAGTACTTGCTGCTTTCTGATCTGTAAACCGATTTAGCTTGTGGCAGTGATCTGAAACCTGGTTTGACATTTGTTCTGCAGGAAGTTTTAATCTGAGCAAGATTCTGAGGCAGATATGCATCAGGGTACTTGTACAGATAAAAACCTTTTCCCTATAACCACGTCTAAGCCAGACAAATCAGGGACAAACCATGACAGATGCGTTAGCCCCACTGGCTTAGACCCGTAAAAGGCAAATGTTCTTTCTTGTTAGACAGCCATCTACATCAACGACTTCTTACTAGTTTAGGATCAAAGAAAGAACATTCAACTTTCCGTTTGGCATTCAGCGTGACGCTCTCCCGCATTAGGGGAAAGGTAGGCATACAGCTCAGGCTGCTGAGAAAGCACTGAGATGAGTACCTGCAATTCACAAGAATGAACAGTAGAGGGAGTGCAGGGAAGGATAAAAAGACTAACAAGATGGTGGCTAGGGGTAGTCCATCATGAGTGTTTTCCTCCCATCCTTTGAAGCATGCCATGCTAGCCACTTTTAGAGACAGGCTACCAGACTCTCAGTCTTGGACTCAGATATCAAAACTGAAACTTAGGTGGGATTTAGGCACCTAAATCCCATTTAGTTCTAGCTATATGGTCCTATGCAAAGTTATCTTTTTTTTTAAACTAGCTTGAATAGCTAATCTAATCTCCAGGGCTTCTGATTTACATCAGTGAAAGCACAACTTAATCCCACTGAAACCGTGCAAGCCTCTTCAGTACACTGCTTGTTGTAAATGCTGCCTATCGGATAGGTGACCACCCAACGCTTAGAACAGATTGAATTTTATTAGATGTTTAGAATTATGAATCCAAAAAGATGACAAAGCCAGTAGGGAAATACAGATCGACAGCGTAAGTCCGAAATGCGGTCTTTTCCTATTCAAGTTTTGTAACTGAATGGGACTGCATTTTCTAACAGACACGAATTTGTCTTGAGATATCCATAACTAGTGGATATTTTTGAAAATTTTGGTCTTGAGCTTTAGGTCTTCAGCTTAGACCATGATGATGCATCTTAAGCTTTCGGCTCTCTAGGAGGGACAACTCTTTAGGCCAATGCTCAGTTTTTAGTCCACCACTGGGAGTTTTGCCGAAGAAAGACCTCAGGGTTTGGGTCATCAGGATTATCAGCATTTTGCCAGCTTCACAGTGTTGCGGTACAAAATGCTTGAGATTTGTACAGTGCGTAGTTCTAGATCTTCGATTATGTTCCTTATTTTAGTGCTTTGTGTTTACTCAGAATCTCTTATTTGGCATAGAGAAAGTCTTTATTATCCATGAAGGTTATGGCTAGAAGGAATATGCTATATGTCAGCGCCCCAGAAACCAACACTAAGCTCTTGCTTGGAACTGTCATCCTAGCCCATGTCACGCTGAAGGAATGTGGGACTTTATCCCCTAGCTACCAACAACCACTGTAGGCCAGTCATCCACTTCCAAGTACAGAAAAAGCATACAAAGGCTGTAAGGGTGGGTGTGGAAGCAATTCTTCTTGGAAGGAAAAAGCCAAGAGAACCAAGTTTGTTTAGTGAAAGGCATTGTCTTTATCATTAATAGGTCAAAGTTTCGTTTCCTTCAGTTATGTCCCACTGGGTGAGGTTAAAAGGACTCTGGAGGGATAACAATCTCATGGTCTGATGGAGACACTAAAACAATACTTTGTCGCCGCCCAGGTCAGAAAAAGAGAATAATAGGTTATTTTTATAGTATCACTTAGAGGGAGTCAGATCTCAGATACTGCCCCTGCTAATTCCCCCAAAGGGAAAAGCACTGTAAGAAAATACTCCTAAAATCATGGAGTCCAAAATGAGTGATCCAGTTCAGAGGCACACATCTGCCTCCTAGGAGACACAAATCTGCTTTCCAGGAGACACATGTCTGCCTTCAACAGCAGCCCCCCCCAGGAAGCCTGGGATAGTTCCAGGTAGCTCTGGCTTGCTCTGCTGAAATGAAGATGGATAAACAATGAGTAGTAGCCAAACCTTCTATTTTCAGACTGGGTGTTCACCACATACAGCAAAATCGCTAGAAACTTAGTTGGGGATGGGGGAGGCAGGAAAGAATCTCATTTTGGCTGGGTCAAATTCTGTTCTGGTACA